CGATTACCGGTGAATTTTAATTATTTCTTAAGGAATTATAAGAAATAACAAATATTTTTATTTATTCCGTAATTCCATGACAAATTCTGTTTTGCTACCATGATATAATTAATAATAAACTACAAAATGATCGATGGAATGAAACTGCTATAAAATGATCGATCAATATCGATAGAAATCCATAATTTAAATAAATTTTGATAAATTTCACTTTTATTTATCGTTTGCAAGATTCATTATTTTGAGCTCATTGTCAACGTCCAGCACAAAATGGGTACGATCGTGAAAATCCGTTTCACAAATTTTCTTCTTTGACATTGCTTTCACATCTACCGGATCGTATTTTGGCTTACCTGAAACAGACCATCTGAGATACAAATGAAAAAACACTAAAATTATCATAAAGCATGACTGTATGATAGTTAAATAAACACATATAAATATATCCGTTTGAATTAAAATTCAAATTTAAATGTGAATTTAAAGTTTGTAATGAAATTATCGAGACCTGCAACTGCTGTTCGAATATAAACGCCGATATTATTCGCAGTACGATTTTTTGTTAATCTCTGAACCTGCACCATAGCACTGACCATATCAAAAACCGTACATGCTAATGGAAATATTATCGGTTTCATACTACTTTCCGATTGATAAACAGAACAAAAGAATACACATTCATCTTTGCCCTAAATGATTTCAATAACTTAACTGAAATTTAAAATATTTTGATCTTTTTTGGCATTATTAATTAATTTTATGAAATTATAGACAAAATGAATATTTGCATTCAGAAAAAATGATTATTTTACAAAAATTAAAATTGAACCCTATTTACAATAGGGTTCAATTTTAATTTTTTTAAGCTTTAAAATACCCAGTGTTATAAAGGATGAATAAATTCTTTAAATTACTGGCGGTTCTTCAGGTGCATCACTGGGACTTGCTTCAATTAATTTAGCACAGGTTTTACGCATATGTGGCACACGCTCAGATATTTTTGCAATTTCATTTTTAGTAAGTCGATTAGCGCATCGAAATATAGGACAATATGGTAGCTCCTCTGTAACTTTGCTTAATATTAAAGTACTTTTTGCTATTTTTTTCATTTTTATTTTAAAATAATGACTACATTACCATCAAATTTTGAAACCAATCAATATTATATAGTTTGGAACTAAGAATAAAAAAATCTACGAGCTGCAGCGGCGACATTAATGCGTGATGTTAAACAATCGAAGCAAAGACGATGACGACAATTAATCAATGTCATACGTGCCGAATTCACGCATGCAAATGAACCTGCAAAATTCATTCAATTAGAGACGGGATAAATGAAATTTGAAACTTACATAATATGGCATGATGGAACGGTCAGTTAGTCGATCGCCTATCTATCCAATATCGTAATATCAGAAGGAGTTTACTCTTCTTGTAAACTACAACATGATTTTGTCAAAATTTTGTCAGGAAAGAAAATTTTAGAAATTGCAACCTTTTCTGCCATCACATCGTTGTCGTTCTTCGAGTTGAAGCATCGACGGTAATTTTTGACCAAATGATATCTTTTGTATCTCTTCATCATCCTAAATATGCTACATATTCATATCACGTACTCTATTAACCTTTGCATTATTCGATTAAACTGTTACATTTTTAATCGTTCTCAAGCAAATGTTCCTTTCTTCAAATCTATAGCATATTAATTTTGTTGATGAAATATAAACGAATATGAAGATTGACCTTTGCACTCAATGAATTAAATCATATTCCATACTTCAGACTGCAATCTTCTATAATCAAATTGTCTACTTCGTATTCATCACTTTTGACATTTGCATAATTGAAGATATCTAAATAATGTTACCTGATCTGCTTCATCGATGACAACGTTTACATGACGTACGTGAGTACAACAAGGAGCAGGACAAAATTGTGATATTGAACATTTTGACAAGCAATCTTTGCAGAACATATGTGAACAAGGTAGCTTTTGCATGTCATTCGGTTCTTTGCATTCCAAACAAATTGAGCATACGGTCATGACAACTGCACTCTGCACGACTAAATGAATGGCGCAATTGAAAGATGCATCATAAATAGTTTGTAATGCTAAATATTGCATATGTAAAAATTCACGTAAGTATGAAAATTTATCTAACATCAATGCAAATGGATGAAATATTTATTGTCTATGCATTTTACATTTTCTTTTCCATATGACCATAAACAATGTTAGTGACAGCTAATTTTTTTTGCTCTTACTCTTTCATAGTTTTTATTGTATACTGATTAGACATTGGTGTGCAGTTGTTTCATGTTATCATCTTTTATCTGAGTGAAATGGATGATGCTATGGAATCGGATAATGAACTTCAACGAACTGTCTATCATGGACTTCTACCGCATGCTGATATCGACCCATTACTCAGAGAAAATGGTGATTTTGTCATTCGTAAAACGGACAAAGATGGTAATAAATTATTTTGGAAATATTTAATTGAAAAAGAAAAAAATTGTTTAATTGATACAAAAGAATTATCATTTTCTATTGATTTTAACGTCTTCAAATGGTACATGAAATGAGCGTCCATTTCAAAGTGTCAACGTTACATTGAACTGACATGATGGATGGTGCTAAGCTAAGATAGAATCGGAGTGAGAATTGTAGTATTGTTCGAATTTTCATGAAATTAAGACAAAGCGTTAGTAAAATTTTAGGCCAAATCATCTTAGCTTTATCAGTGAGATGGAATAGTCAACTATTGCATTTTGTGGTCAATCAAGATGAAAGTGGCTATTATTATTTCGAGACTCATAAAGTTTATTTTTTTATAAGTTTGACCTTTATTGGTAAAAAGCAAATTTTTGAAAAAATAAATTTTGAAGCAGAGTAAAGAAAGATTTCAATTTAGCTTTAAATTTTAATGTATTTCGAATAAAGAAAAAATAATCCTTTGATAGATGATATCAAAATATAACTAAATAGCTAATAAAACCATCAGGATATAAATAAATAGCCAATAATTTAGGAGAAAACAATATGTGACTTAATTAACTGGCACAAAACAACAAAAAATCCTGTATCTGTGAAAAGCAATGCGAAGCTTATCAGTGGTATCACTCGACAATCATGGCTTTTGGATCATGACGAAGTTCAACTGCAAAGGAAGCTGGGTGAAGGTGCTTTTGGCGAGGTTATTCATTTTACTAGAAATTTATAAATCCTATTTTTCTCTTATATACAAGTCCACAGGGACACACAGGAAGTATTTATGCTTACTGTTAGCCATAGCTAAAATGGTCTAATTTTCAAAACTTGCTACCATTTCCGCACATTCTTATTTTCTTATTAATATTGTTGGTTAGTTTTAAATTTGGTTAGTTTATTTGTTGGTTAGTTTTAAATTAAATAATAATTTTGAATTTGTATCTGAAATCATCCCTTTCAGTTTTATAACCTAACTTCTCTCTTGTCAACATTGCAACATCAAAATGCACTAACTGTAGTTTAGTTCTACAGGTATATCTATCGCAATATGTGCGATCGAACAAAGTAATTGATGTGGCGGTGAAAACGATACGAGAAGAAGCATCACGACTTGCGCGGCTTAAATTCATGAAGGAAGCTCGAATAATGCGTAAATTCTCGCATCCCAATGTTGTAAAAATTATGGGCATTATGGTATATGAGAACCCATTGATGATTGTCATGGAGTTATGCCCAGGTGAACTTCAAAACTTCTTTCATACCTCCATTACCTTCAATACTTGCAAGAGGACGCTATACTCCCAATCTGATAGTCTAATTATTAAAAACTAGAAATTCGCCAATTCCGGTACTTATTTCAGTTAAGAAAGTTTACTTTTTAGAAGGCTCAATGCTCAGTTATCTTAGAAGAAATATCCCTGTTAATTCAGACCTGAAATTACGTTTTGCAACAGAAGCTAGCGCTGGTCTTGCATATTTGGAATCGAAACATTGCATTCATAGGTTTGCTGATAGTTTCTACCTTACCATTACTAAAGTCTTTGTTTCTGGATCAACTTAATTTCCTACTTTACTCAGTTACTTTGATAGCTAAATATTTATTCTTCCCTCTTCTCCATAAAACATAACGCTGCGTGCATTTTTATAGCGTATCAACAGAGAAGCGTTAAACGATGCTTGCGCAAATGTCTTACATCATTGGAATATAAAAAAATAGTAAATTTTAGAGATATAGCAGCAAGGAATTGTTTGTTATCAGAGCAACTGGAAGTAAAAATAAGTGATTTTGGTATGTCCGATGAGCGAAGAATTATTTATGACGAAAAATTAGAAAAAGTATCCCAAAAATTATTTAAACTTGGAAATGTTTGAAATTTAAAATGAAATATATATCAACTAACCATAACCAAGTTGATAACAAATATCAGGTTCCAATGAAATGGCTTGCACCAGAGACTATGCAGCAACGTATATTCTCGCCCAAAACAGATGTTTGGTCTTTCGGCGTATTGGTAAGCTATTTTCAAATTTGCCATATTTAACCATCGATTGAATGATGTTCGGAATTCAAAACTTTATCGTACCATTTGTATTAATTTATCGATTTCCATGCAAAAACAATCGAATACTCTGAGGTTTGGGAAGTGTATGCGGATGGTAAAGAACCATATCCAGGCTTATCAAACATCCAGGCACGAGCTAAAATTGTTGTTCAAAATTATCGAATGGAAATGCCGAAAGTTAGTTCGGTCCACGCTTAAATTATAGAATGAGAAAAAAGATGCAATCTTCGCACCAAACAAGATTGTGATTCAGAAATCAATTTTGAACAAGACTCTCAACTTTTGTTACCCGAGTCATTTCTCCGGCAAGAATCTTACCAATCAAACAATCCAATTTCTTAATTCCAAAAGTTTTCGTTTCAGTCATGTAGACTTTGTAACGGACTAAGAATTATTCAATTGACCAATCTAATCTTATTTTTTAGACAGCTCCATCAGCTGTATCAAAACTTGTTTATCGATGCTGGAAAACGGACCCCAGTGAAAGACCATCATTCGCTGAAATTCACCGCAAGTTGAAAGCGTTGAAGCGAAAGTAAAATGAAAATTCTTTTCTCATATTTTCCTATTGCAAATAATCGATACTTCCAAATTTTAATCAGAGACTTGCTAGATCCATATGAACTTGAAAAAAAAATTTGATAACTACTAACTTTATCAGCAAAGCAATTTCATGTTTCTGACTTTTATTTGCAAGGAATCAAAATTTTTGTATCGAAAAACCCTATTCACATATTTCATTACCATTTACAACAGAGCAATTTATTAAACCAGAAATGCAACAAAAACAATGGTAAAATATAAATTGCTCCTATCGCCCACATATTGTTTAAAACAGAACCTAATTAAAACGTTAATGTAGATATTATACAATAAAACTAAAAAATGACAGAAAAATATTGAAAACCGAATGACCGTTGTAAACTACCAGTATAACAATGACTTAGTTGAATGCCTCTCGAATCTGCTTTTCCTTGTTCAATAGGTCATTTTGAAGGAAAATCCTTTGGGCAAAAAAAGGGAAGCACCAACCAAAAATCTTAAACAACTTCCTCCTCAGTAATAAGTAGATTAATTCAATCTTTACCTCGGACAACTTTTAAATTCAGAATGAAAAAAGAAATCGTCTATCACTATGTCGTGTGTTGCTTACAGAGCGCTTTTAATGGTAATCCAGTAATGGTAATCTTATTATGCGTATAAAGCACCTTATTTTTTAACAAAGATTGTTTTGAGAATAAAATAAAATACCCATGGATAATTTATTACTAAAAGAGCGTTCAGTTTCATACAACTCGACGAACTTCAAAAAATCGCTTTAGATAGAATATTTGTCCAACAGTCATTGAGGCAAGTACCACAGCTTCGAAGATAGCCCACAGAACCACTCTTGAATTTGTGTTCTCATTTACTGCAAAACAAATCTTACTGGAACAAATCAAAAAGATCTAGCATTTTTCAATCTATAAAAAAATAATGATAATTAAGCATAAGTGATAACTGTTCAAATAGGTTTAGCAGAAATAAAATCTCAGCTACATCCAATAACCACCAAGGCAATATCGCACCTACAAATGGTAAGGAATTTCGAGAAAATTCCCAGCCTAAAACTATAAGCACTGACTGTTCTATCATCTCATGTAAAAGTTTAAATTTCTCACATTTCCTAGCTTCTCTCACTTCATCGAGTTCAAGAAAAGATATAATCTAGAAAAATCATTCTTCCAACATCACATTCCGTACCCAAATCGGTTAAATTCCTAGTTAGTTTTATGTGTTAGTTCACATCTCTTATGCAGTAAGAAAAATATAATGCTGCAAAAGATGAATAAATTGAAATTTAGTTAAAATTCTCAAAAAACTTACTTGACCTATGTACACGCTCCCGTACTTCCATATATTCTTGTTCATGCTTGACAGATGTCAGTGCGGAAGATAGTTCTCGTACCATTTCTTCCAGTTTAAGGCTATCCGCTGAAAACTATTCTCCACATAATATATAAAAAGGACGCAGCTCAAGCATCTACTTCTCCACATAATACTTAGACCTATATACACTTACTGGTCATGAAAACGAACAAAACTGGAATAAACGGAAAAGTATTCTACCTGAGGAATCATTGGCGCCTTGTCCTGCTTGCGATGGTATCGGCTGTCCAGGTTGTGCAATTTCCATCGAAAACATGACCACTTTTGGAGTCATTGTTGACATTTGATTTCCAAAACAATAAGTATATGGTCCATCCATATGTGCAGCAAAGGTATATTTACCCGAACTTTCTCGCTCTCCCCTATAGATTTCTTTATTGTCAGGACCGATAATCTAAAAGAAGAGTGATGCTTAAAATTCAATCAATGAAATTCTTTCTTAACATCATCTGAGAAATACAAATTTTTGTCAAAAAATCTGCAGTACTTTTGGGATTGGAAATCCTGTATTACTCATCAATTCTATAGAATCTCAGCATCCTAACACTAAATAACATGAATGATTAATCATTCCAAACAGAAAGTTCTGTGTTTGCTGTGTCATTTATTAAATAAAGATAGCAATTGATAAGTTGCTTCAATGAATTCTGCAAACAACTGAATGCAAAGGAAACCTTCACATCGATATCCAAAAATCCGCCTTCAGCAACTTCAAACATCACACCCATCTTAGTACCAGCCGTCACTCGATCGAAGAAGCACTGCTCCTCATTCGCATCAATGTGTATGAAGTAAGCAGCCGATTCCGCCAAACAGTAAACAATCAACAACAAAGTGATCAACATGATAACACCCTTAATTTACCACACATCATTTATTCACGATACTCATAATACTCACAAATATACTCATAAATACCCCGTCCCTCCGCTCTCCTGACACCTCAATCCTCTACCCATACAACGCCACCACAAGACACCCACCCCTATCCCTTCCACCAAATCCAAACTAAAACACGTTGCCCGAATATTCATTTAACACAGTTTGCATATGTACGATGTTAAATCTCATCACCATAATGTGTTAAGTTTCTTACATGAAACATCTTGCGCGTTTTATGACGTGAATGATGTTTATAATACGATTCTCTACGAGACAAATTACTCATCACGCTATAGGTTAAAGTCATATGTCACTTTGGTTGAGTTCGGCATGATGGATGGAATACTTTGCCATAACAGTCAATAAATCTTAAGTATAAGCTTTTTGCTTTCATTTGAACTTCCATTAGTGTTATAAATTATTGATAAACTTTAGTTAGAATTTTTTTTTTTCATTCGGCTGATTTTTCTCGTTTTTCAGACTCAAAACAAACATTCCTTCCTCACTTCATCGGATTAATGAAACTTTTTGCTTTCAATGAACTTTGATTTTTCAATATATATATACTATTTTTTAAGTTATTCCTTTTTTTAACACATGCATTTTTATTCTTATTGCTTTGCACATTCATTATCTTTAACAAGCAGACTGATTAAGTTTGACATCGAACGAATTCTTAATAACCAATATTGACTCTATTAATTTTATGCAAGTTTAGTTAATAGATTATACTATTCAAGGATGTTACAACTTAGTAGTATGAACTTTAATACTGTGACCTTAAAATATTGATTTTTATCTGATGAATTTATTTAAAATGAAGAAAGTTTGCATAAGAAGTTTGAATGGGAGAATGAAAAAGAGGAATGCTTGCTTCTATTACTTTTTCCTTTTTTTTTTTAAAAAATCACATTCACTTTTCTTCTGCTTTCTCTACATTTCTTTTATTTACTTCCCAAACAAAATTTATCCTTTTCCTTTCATATTCAAATATTTAGAAATACTTTTGAAAAATTATTATGACATTTCTTTAATTGTTACATATGGTAATTCTGCCAGTGACTAAATGCTTCGAAAACTAACTGCTTACACAACCACAATATTTCCGATAGCTTCAAGCAAGTCGAGATGAGAAAATGATACGTAAAAACATTGGGAAACAATCATTATATGCAATTTTGCAGGAATTCATTCAAAAAAATGACACGTTTTCTCTTTTCCAAATTGCTTTCCTTTCCTGTGGAAAGTTATTGATACCATTTTAGGTGCTTCTGCCAAATTTGTTAAACTGTTGAAATTATTTGATAATGTGCGTGCTTGCAACTGTCCATTCAGTGTACCTGAAATTAAACATCTTAATGATAGAGTAATTGCCTAATCAGAAATTCACAATTTTAATTTGAAATGCTAACTCTTTGTCGTATGATATTCATTTTTCATTTGTTGGGTACTGAAATCATTTCAGATGAATAAATAATTTTCCATTCTCTGTGGTTGTCACAAAATAACATAAATGTTAGGAAATAAATTTTTACACAGTTTCAGTATCGCTGATTGTAAGCTGACTAATCGAAAGATTCCTCGAAATTGATGCTGAACTCAATATAACTCAAAAAGTCAGAAGTTTGAGTTTGATAAGACCAAAATATTAAATTAAATCAATAAAAAGGAAATCGAAAGTATAAACGTTTTTCAATCCTCATAATGATGGTTTTTAGCCAAAAAAAGAGTTATAACGAATGGTTTTGATGCGATAAATATAATTTGCTCAAATAATTATTTTTCTTCCACTAGTCAAAGTGATTAAATTAATTCGAACAATGATTTTAAATGCTGAATTAACATATATCATCAACAAAAAGTGAGAAGTTCTGTATGGTAGTATTTTATTTAATTTTTTATATTGCGGTGCAGAATTAGTTACAGAATTAAAATTGGTTAATTTTGAGTTAAATTTAAGAATTTTCGGCTTCAAAACTTGTTTCCATCATAACAATAATATATTACCACACACTTCTACCAAAATAGTTTGCTGAGACAATTTGATTAAATGAATATTTCATTTTTAATACAATAAAGACCAACTAAATTGTAATACTATCAATGTCTTCTTCCATTTTTCTAAACCTTTAAAATATTTAATAAAATTTTAATGACAAACCATATAAAATCCAATTTATAGCAGAATTAGTAAAGGGTAAAGCATGGATGAAATACATGAAGTAAACGAATATCGGCGATACATTACCATTCTTATCACCGGCATATTCCAAATAAACAGCATAAACAGTTGCTAACCAAAATGGTGTCCAGCATAAAAAATAAAAACATGCGAGAGCTAAGGTATAAAGAGAGATTCGCATCATTGGAATACGTGAAGACTGCAAATTTTAAAGTTAAAATGTCCCATAAATGATTGACATCAGTGCTTTTATTATTTGCAAAAGTGCAAACAACTTTGAAATTTTCTATTGTAAGCTTAACATTTTTTGCAAATTAAAATTTGAAATATAAGCGAAATCTCATTTCACATTTTAATGTGTACAAATATTCTTGGATATAGTACTGACATTTTTTTGTATTATTAGAGAGGTGTAAAGCATTAAGTAGTAATAGAAACGAAAAATATGCAAAAGCTAAGATTAGTAAGTCAAGAGCAAAATGAATTCATTTGATTTTTCATCCAATTCCTTCGATCAGAATTTACTCAGAAATTCAAATTTGTATTTATTGATTTGAGTGGCTTGAGATAATGAAATGATGTGTAATCAATAATTAAGCATTTTTCATGTTTTTTTCAATAATTTTAGTTAGGCCTACCTTGACTTAAAAATATTTGGTAAAGGAAGGCTTATTTTATTTTTATTTTTGCTTTTTTCTAAACTAAAGAATAACTGTATTTTTGTAGATATTTCTCAAAATATATCTGTAAAATGAATTTACTACCAGTAATCAAAATAATTCATATCATAAAAGTTAAGTGAAGTTCAGAAATTCAACATACCTTAAATTGTCGTGCATGTTGTCGCAATCGTTTTAACAGTTTAGCATAGAAAAAAGCGACTAATGATAGTGGTAAACAATAACAAAATATGAATAGATATATAGTGAAGATTGTAAATATAAATGATGAAATGTTGACCATTGTACATTTTTCTATTGTCATACGTGTCAATTTCAAAGGTGCTGTTTTCTACAATATTTTATTCAATAAAATAAATTAAGCATTTCATTCATGATCGTTAATTTTTTCATTTCTTTCAAGTTTAGAAAAGTTAATGATTTTGAAAAAATCATTCGCACACAAAATCAAAAAAAAAATCGCAAATGAGATTCGATGTCAGCTTTTTTAATTAAAAAAAATTTACCTTCTCAAATAGTACCAATTCTCGAGCTTTGAAACTCCATAAAAATGGACATAGAGTAATCATAGCATAAAGTGCTAAACCTAAAATTTAATGACAAATATTTAAGTCAATGTAATTCAACATAGCTAACAATCGATTGATACAATAATGCTAAATTTCTAGGCACGACGATAAAATTAATGTGTTAGTTGAAGACGTAAGAATTAAGGTGAGGGTCAAGTTCCCTGACCTAATTTGATGGGAGAGTTGTTTTTTCGAATGATAGCTAAAAAGGATCAAAATCTTACAAAACTAAGATCATTTGTAATATTCTAACTAATTTCTAATCAACTTGAATTGTGGAGCCTTTATTTAGGCTTGAAACAATTCGTAGGAGTGAGCGTTCACTGGCTACTATATTACTTTTTCTTCAGCTTATACAAACTATCAGTGGTTATCAGTAAAAATTCTTTTCACAAAAGAATTAAATTTGATATGAACTTTTTAACTGAAAGAAAATATGAGCGATACCAGTAAGAATAGTAATAGCCAAACGCCTAGATCTAAGCCATTTCTGTTGTGAATGGCAGACGCTAATGTAACGATCAATGGACATCGCTGTGATAATTAGTGATGAAAGGATTTTACCGAAATTCTCCAACAATGCATGCAATTTGCATATTACTGTACCAAACATCCAAAATCCAAGGATCTACAAAAAAAATGGTCTGAATTACATGGTATAAAATTCCTTCATTTATCTCCTTCATCTTCTATGCATCAATTTAATCAGTTGAATTTTTGTTTCTCGTCATTTGCTGAAATTATTACAATTTACCTGATCAATTACGGTAAAAGGTAGTGACATACAAACACCAAAATCAACGCATGATAAAACAATTACATAGACAAGAGTATTATCCAATGATCCTCGATTTGATCGTGCCTGAAAATAGTCTTGCCCGAACATTGATTGTCAAAAGTTTTTTTTTTGTCAAAAGTTTTTTTTTTTTAAAACAGCTTAAAAAATGACATCAGAGAATAAAATTAAATTAATTTTAATCAATCAGTGAATAAATTATTTCGCTTTGCTTAACAAGGATGCCATAATTTATGTCAGAATTTATTTCTTTGAAATTATAACCAATATTTTTTTTTTTTGAAAATTTCAATGCTCAACAAATAGCTATTTTATTGTAATTCTAAGCTATTTCCAGCCGAAACATACCACATGGTAAATGGTAGTAAGAACTGCAACATTACCGGAGGTACCAAGAAGAAATAGCAACATGTAAATGCCAGCCATTACCAATACCTGAAGATTCTCGTGATTGGGCGGTGGTAGCACATCTGTTATTTCCATCTTAGCTCGATATTCCGATCCCAACTGCTGTAATAGTATCAATGGTAAATAAATTAAGACTTTATAATACATAATATCCAGTTTTAAGTAAACGTCAAACAACTGTCATATAATTGATTTATTCTTTCTTAGATATTCGATAAAATGTTGAAAATTAAATTATTATTATTAATCACTCAGTCAATTGTTAAGAAGCACTGTGATTTAGGCAAATTAACAAATTTGATTAATTTAGTGATGAAATAAGCATCACATACTTCTCTTTCATCTTCCGTACCATTAAACCAAAATTCTCGATGAAATTCTATCTGCTCCATGGATAAATCCATCAAATGTTATTGTTGTTATTCAAGAATAATAGATGATTTATTGCTCGGATTTGGATTAATTTTAGACTTCTTTACGAAATACATAAACATGCATTTTTTCCTACAAAATAATTTGAATTGAAATTAAAAATTGGTTATTGAATTTACATTATGTTATTTGTAACACATATATAACTTCAATCCTATAAATTTTCATCTATACAATCAATAGCAAATTTTAAGTGACATTTTGAGAGGATCAATATTATCATTATTTGATAAAACATGAATCATTCTCTTTTATATTTTCAGGTATCACGGAATTATAAGATTTGTTTTTAAAACTTCAAGAATTTTCCACATCGACAAAGGATTTAAATATTATCTACAACTGATTGTCTTTTTTTGATTAATTTGCTATATATTTCCGAGAGATTTCCAGAAAACCTCTATATCATGACCAATTAAAATCAAAAGATAGAAATCTATTTAGCGCAACATAATTCCTTTTTTCTCTAACTTTTACAACAAAGCTTGCTCTCTAACTCTTTCTTCCTCTCTCTGTCCCTCATAATGGTCAACAAATAGCAACGACAAAATATATTCGAGATCAGGAAGTGATACTGAAATATCCAAGAATATAAGAGATTAGAATTGATGGATGATAGAATGGCGTTATTTGGCAGTTAATATTTGAGCTTCTTCGAGCAGATTCACATGAAAACAGTGCGGAAATGTCACTAACAACAAAACATATAATTTTATTGATTTTACGAGTACGTGTGACATGATTCACAAAATTCTTATCAGTAAAATGATAGCTTTAAAGAGATGCTTGCTATACAGTTATGATCCAACTTAAACGTAAAAGACTTGAAAAATGACATCTAAAAAGCAAAAAAATCTTCCCTTTAAAATTTCCCTTTTTAAAAATAGAATGGCGTTATTTAGCAGCTAATTTTCTCTTTAAATTTAAATATGAAAATTGGTAAATTTCCCTTTAAATATGAAATAGTTTGTATTGCGAAGTATCGTTTCATATTTCAATGAACTTTGATAAATTTTTGAAGATAATATGGGGGATATTTTCATGCTTACATCTTATTTATATAACTTTCATCTTTCTAAGTCAGTCATGGCAGAAAAAAAATAAATGATAAATTTTACGGATGTGTACACTGTAGCTTATATATTTCACTTCACTTCACTAAACTTTTAAAGACATCTCACTGAAACTAAAAAGCCATTTAAAATATTTCAAAAAATTTTTACTGTCTGTAAACCTGTCTTGTCCATTTATTCCAAACAGACTTCTAAATGATAAATGGTTAAACAATGATTATAAAATACATAATATATTTATTCGTAACATTCATAACATGGGGAAAGAAATAGAAAGAGAGGGAAAGAGAAAGAGAAAAAGAAAGGGAGACAGAAAGAAAAGAGAAGTAATTTATAATAAATAATGTTAGGGGCATTTTTTTACACTATTGAAAGAATAATTATCGTTTAAAAATTGCTTATTTGCAAAATAAATTAGCTATAAATTTCAAAAATGGATCGTAATATCTTTAGCAAAAATATTTAAGCATTTAGCATTACTTTACTAATTAAAAAATATTATAAATGAAATTTCAAACTGTAATTCAAATTTTAAATTTAAAAAATTTAGAGAATAGAAGAAAATGTGACAAAAATTCAACAAATGGAAAAAAAAGAAAGAAGGGAAAGTTAGATTGATTGCACATTTGCATTATTTCATTCCTCAAGTCTTTTTATCATTTTTCATTTCAATAATTTTTGCAGTGAATCACAAACTTCACATAATTAAATGTGACTAAAAAGAGCACTGAAATGAACCTTAGAAAAAGGACAGAAAGATTAGTTTGTTTTGCTTCTTTTTTTTTACTTCTCATTTATTTGCAATATTCAATCTTGTAGCATTCTTTAGTTGAAATAATAATAATCTTTTTTTATTGAACACTTTTCATAAAAAAGTCTCATCATAGTGAGTGCTTTGTAATCTTTTATCGTCAGAGAATTTAAATGTCTAGCTTATAGCTTACCTTGAAGTTGTGATTAATGAAAGCACAGCAATTGCTCCCCGAAAAGTCGCTTAAAAGCTAAAAATATTAATAGAGTAGTATATAGCTAAAAATATTCAATAGGGAAAAAAAATTATTTATCAAAAATAAATCGCACTTGTCAACAATGTAATGTCTGACAAAGCTCATTGTTAAAGAATTAATAAAAAGATGCTACAGAACGAAAGTTTAAATAGGAAGTACAAAACAATAATTTTGAGGTAGAAGAAGGGTACCATAACTTATTTGGAAAGATTTGTTAGCATCACGAGAGAAGCAATAAAAGCAGTTTGACGTCAGTCTAATAATTCGAAATGAGTTTTGCTTACAATGACAAAAAAATTCGTCACAAGTTTTTTTTAAATTTAACCTTAAAAAATCATATATACTATGGTCCTTTATTAAGATACCATACTTTTTGACCAAAAAATTCCAAAAAATAAATAAGAGAATAACTAATAATTTGGGAGAAATTATTTTTCTCCAATATTTTCACTCTTTTATCATATTAACTGATGAAATTTTTTTTTGAATCAATGAAGTAATCAATTATTGATCTAATTTAGCTTGAATGAAATGTTAAGATCAGTTTTGTTGAAAATCTGATTTATTCAAAATTATAACAATGGACAAGGTTCATTTCAGTTGTAAAATTTGGCGTAATTAAGAATTATAGATCGTAGCAACCAATCAATCATGTCAAAGTGATAAGAAAGAATTTTAGAAATGAAATGAATGTAAGAAAATAGGAAGTATTTACAACTATATATCTAAAAAAAATTTTGAAAATCCATTGATCAGTTCAATTTTAAATGTGAAGTTGCAGAAAATTTTTGGTAATAAAGAAATTAAGGTGAGCCGTAATTTAATGAATTTCAAACTTTTCAAAATTCGAATAAGAGTGAAAAAATAACGTACAGTGGCAATGACTCTTTGGATAAGATGAATGGATAGAGAGCCGTCCGTGATTAATGTTTAATTTGTAATGAACAAAAGGTTCGAAAAATAGATTTGAATTAAAACTATATCCAAAACAAATCATTTTCTTGACAAATTTAAAATTGCATATGAGAATAGTGAAGAAGAGAAAGAAAGCAAATTAAAATCCCTTCAAAATGATAATTACACAATTTATGTTTCAAATTAATATTTAGCGGAAAAATTAAAAGTTTACACTTACTTTGGTATATAATAAACTGTCATTCATCATATTTCACTTTTAAAAACAAAAACACAGAGATTTAAGGGATGAAAAGAGTGCAAAGAGAATTTCCAATTCATCAAAAGAATCAATAAGCCAATGATGAATAAATCATCGAGCTATAGCTTTATCACAACATCTTTCATCATCTAATCTCCCCTGTACTTTATTTTATTTTAATTTTTCGATTTATGATCTTTTAGCATGAAAAAGATACGAAGAATTATATCAAATGTTATGATTGGCTAAGCAAAATGAGAGCCTAGTCTTTCTTGGTCCTCAAAAATTATGTAAAATCTCTTTCAAATTAAACATTTGAAAAAAAAGAAAGGAAGGAAGCGAAGGAAAAGATGTCTATGCATTTCTTGTATGGAATTTTACATGTATGCGAAATTTCATCGGACAAACGCATAGACGATTGGAGAGAATAGTTTTTTTTCCTCGTTGTTGTTAGAAAGATTGCCGATTCAGTTCCATTTCTCATCCTATCTTATTAATATAATAAAATTTCTCTTTCACTTAGTTAACAGTATTTTTTTCTTTTTTTTTGCAAATAAGCAACTTTGTTAGTTTCAATCATACTGAAATTTGAAATTTGAAGAAACCCGAAAAAAATATGCGAATGACTGAATTAGATGAATAGGAATTGTAATAAGAACTAAAAAGTTAACGGTTATAATTGTTATTTTTTTAATAATTTCATTTTTTTTTAAAAATTTATTTAATAATTTCATTAATCTATGGTTTTAAAATTGATGAATTATTGATGAAAAAGAAAATCATCTTTGAATTTATCACCAATATTTTGGATTTTGTGTGCTTGAATCATAAATTATTTTTCATTTATACGAGTTACATTTTCAAGGAGTTTAATAAAAACTTCTTGTGCGCACTCCGTTTTCCCTCCCTTGTGAATTTCAGAAATGATTTCTTCTTTTTTTGCATCATCGACTTTTAAAATGAAAGGGAAAGAAATATGGCCTGCTAATAAAGAGAGTAAAAATTTGAATTAGAATTAGAAATCATTTAGATTATTATTAATGCTAAATTATGATTTGGCTAGAAATCTTCGCCACAAAAATTTTTAATATTACTAAGCTAATCTAAAATCTAACGGAAACTGATTAATCAATTTCAAACAATTCTTTCTTTTCTGACTTTTCTCAGCAAGCTAATCAACAGAAATCGAAAAATTTCTGTTAGATTCTCTACGCGGTTTCATTCCCTCTTTCTGTCTTAACTGAACTTTTACTGCTTAACTTTGGTAACTTTGTCAGCACTTCGATAGCAGCTATTTTCCTGTAATTTCTTGGAGTAGGAACATTCAAATGCTTAATTGTTGAAATAATATGACTTCCTGGAACATTTATTACTCTACGACTTCCACACATCGAATTCTTTTTTTTTTTCATTAAATTTTTGTCGTTTTTAAAATATCTTTACTAGAAGTTCTAATTCTGTTCTTAACTATGCAAATTTTCTTTTTATATGAGAGAAAAAAAAAGCTTGCGGTTGGGTCAAGGTTCACTTCATGTACAATTACGGTCAAAACATACATGCAATAAGCACAAATGAAGATGGTACAATTTTGTACCAATGGTACAACTGGTACATTTTTGTTATTGGTACAATCGATTCTATCGGATTTTTTACTAAGCTTATTCTAATCATGTCATGTGCTTGTCAAAAATACAAATGATCCATAAAAGATTAAACAATTCAGTCATTTCTGTACA